ATTGTTGACATTTAAAGGAAACTGTGAGGAGAGCGTGGTAAAATTTTATTAAGTAAATCTGTGAGGGGAGTGAGGAGCCGCGGGGGGGCGCGCGCGTTTCCTCAGGGAAATACGTCGCTGTCGCCCTTTCAGCGCCTCTTCCGCGGCCGCTCCCGATTGAAAACTAAACACATTTGATATATTTGATATATTTTATATATTTTTTAACGTTTTCCTGTCACTTTCTCCCAGCCACCCTCCTTCTCCCTCCCTCCCCCCCCCCTTTCGGGGTACCGAAACAAAATGGCGGCGGGCGGGAAACCGACCGAGGGGAGCTCTGCGCGCCCTGCCGCGACCAATCAGCCCGCGGCTTCCCCACGTCGCCGGGCAGAACCAGATTTTCTGACCAATCAGAAAATCCGATTTTCAAAGCGGGGGGGCGAGGCGGACACTGGCGGCGACCGTTGCGCACGTAGGTGGGGCTGAGGGGGGGGGAAGCGGGAAGAAGGGGGGGGAGAAATGGGAACTGCGCAGGCGCAGGAGGGGTTTTCGCGGGGTTTCGGCGGCGCGCGCAGGCTCGCGGCGGCTGTGCGCGTGCGCAGCGTCGGCGCGGCGCGCGCGCGGAGCGGGCGGGAAGGAGGAGGGAGGAGGAGGAAGGAGGAGGAAGGGGGGGGCGGCGCAGGCGCAGCTGAGGCGGCGGCGGCGGCGGCGGCGGGACGGGCCCGGCGATCGCTCCGCGCTCCGTCCGCGCCCCCCTCGGGGCCTCTTCCCCTCCCCTCCCCTCCTTCACTCCCCTCACAAACAACCGAGCGCCTCGTCCTCCCCCCCTCGAAGCTCCCCGCGGGCTCCGCCTCTTCCTTCCCTCCCTCCCTCTCCCCGTCCCCGCCCCGCGCGGCCTCCCCTGAAGGCCCGGCCCGGCCTCGCGCTCCGGCCTCCGCGCCGCCGCTTCAGCGCGCCCGCGGCTTCCGCTTCCCCCCCTCCCTCCTCCCTCACCCCCTCCCTCCCCTTTTCCCCCCCCTTTCCCTTCCCCTCACGCCGGACCCGCCATGGACGTGAAGCGGCTGAAGGTGACCGAGCTGCGGGCCGAGCTGGGCCGGCGCGGGCTGGACGCCCGCGGGCTGAAGGTGGAGCTGGCGCAGCGGCTGCAGGAGGCCCTGGACGCCGAGATGTTGGCGGCGGGGCCTGAGGAAGGCGGCGGCGGAGGAGGAGGAGGAGGAGGGGGAGGCCCGGCCGCCGCGCCCGGGGCCTGCGGAGGAGGAGGAGGAGCAGGAGAAGCGGGGCCGGCGGGAGGCCCGGCCGGGCGGCACCACCACGGAGGGGAGGAGGAGGAGGAAGAGGAGGAAGAGGAGGAGGAGGAGGAAGAAGAGGAGGAGGAGGACGAGGAAGCGCTGCTGGCCGACGAGGACGAGGCGGCCGCCGCGGCCCCCGAGGCGACCCCGGCCCAGTCCGGCCCCCCCGGGGAGGAGGAGGAGGAGGAGGAGGAGGAAGAGGAGGCGGCCCCGGCCGAGCCCGCGGGCCCGGAGCCGCCGCAGCTGCAGCCGCCGCAGGAGGAACCGGCGGCCGAGGCCGAACCCGGAGCGACCGAGGGAGGAGGAGGAGAAGGAGGCGGCGGCGTGAACGGGGCCGAGCGGCCGCCGGAAGAGGCGCCCAGCGGGGACGAGGCGGCCGCGGCCGAGGCCAAGGAGGAGGGAGCGCAGGCGGGTGAGC